TATATATTCGTTAATGACGCCGTCATAAGCTTCCTTTAATTGGGGTGAAGCGAGCATCCTACGCTGAAAACTGTAGAAACGTTTTTCCGTCATTTGACGCGAATCGCCGAGAGATAAAACATCTCCTTTAAAGGGTAGCGCTACACTATATCGACCGTCGTGATCCCGAACGGTCGTGCGGACGTAAATTTCCTCGCATAATATATCATCTGGGCTAACTATAGGTGGAACGTTCACCTCCTCCATCTCCCAAAATTTGCGGACTAACGACTCTGAGTTTGCCGAAATATTATCCATCATCGGGGCGGAGCCAATTATAACATAGCCCAAGACGGTTTCCAGTGCGTAAGGCGCGGTATGTGAGGAGTTGCCCCTGACCTTATTGTGTAACAAAAGATGAGGGAATAGCGATGCTCCAATGAGCATGTCTATGTTTCCGGGTACGGCGTATGTATCGTCTGCCAGCGTCAAATTTTCAAATGCAATCATTGCCGAGGTGTCGACCGAAACGGTTGGTAGACGTTCAGTGACTTTATCTACTACTAACGCATTTATATCAAAGTTAACATTACGATCTAGCCGAGAATAAAATTTCAAATTTATATATTCCTGGGTAATTTTATTAGTACCTCCGATGCCTTTGACTTCGGGACATGAAGGTGTGCTATTTATTGGCAGCCCTAAATGCTGACACATTGCCGCGTTATAAGGCTACTTTGAGATCCGCTGTCAAGCAATGTACGGATACTTTGTTCGTTTCCACGCGAATCCCTAACTACGATACGGGCTGTACCCAGTAACACGGTTGAAGGAGACTGTGTTCCCACATTGGACAATGAGCACAGAGCGACGTCACCAGGTCGACCGCTAGAATCGTCGACTTTAGTAGGTGTGATTTCCTTATTCGATTTACTTTTTTTTTTTTTTTTTTTTAATTTATTTATATCATTATAGTAAATACATGAGTTAAATGTAATTAACTTGCAAAAACCGTGAGGTTTGTCCGCAAGTTACAGTCTCACACAATTAAAGGTATAGTACAATCACATACATTATACAAACTATTAATACAATCATCTAATTGATGGCTGCTTATAAACAGTAACAATAATATTACGTATATACGTACATATTTTTAAGTGATAAATTTCAAATCACCGTAATTGCAATCACCGGCGTTCTGGACGGGCCGTATTGACAGAAAAACCGGTTTCTGTGAGCCCACGAATGTGAGCGTGACAATTTGATCGTTCTTATCGGGCGATCGGATTATTTAGTTGCAGAAGCAGTATACAGGTTGGTGCAAAAACTGTGAATTGATCTTTTTTTTATCATTATTTATAGTTTTTCATTTTTGATTTGTTTTTATTCAGTTGCAAGTATACATATTTAATATATATTTATAAAAATTAGAACAATTAATTGATGATTTTATAAGTATATTATATAATTTTGTATTTAATATTTATTTACTCCCGTTGTAGCTGTTCATAGAAATATTTTTTGAATTTGTTTTTGTAGTTATCTTCATTGATATCTGAGAGTATCGTGGGGGGTATTTGGTTCATTAAAGTAGGAATTAAATATCTATTTGTACGTTTACCATAGTAGTTATATATTTTAGGTGTTACGAGTTTATTTTGTATAACTTTTCTTGTAATAGTTTTATGGTTAGTTTTAACTTGCACTTTTTTATTGTGAAATTGTTCTATTAGTATTAGCATCTGAAATTTTGTGTGTATAGGTAATACTTTGCAAAATTTAAATATTCCATTAATATTGTTTTCACTGTATATTTTTGTTTTTACTTTCTTAGGTATAATTATTTTCAATATTCTGATTTGTAGGTTATATATTTTATCTAAGTAAGTTTTAAATGTTTTTCCATAACTTGTAATGCCATAAGAAATAAGAGACTCAGCAAGAGCGTTATACAGATTTATAAGGATGGGAAATGGCATTTTGTATTTTAGTATTGCAAACTTTGCTAGCATAGCCCGTAGCTTGTTACATACATGCTCAACGTGTTTACCCCAATTGAATCTTTCATCCACAATCAGACCTAAGTATTTATAAGTGTTAACTTGTTCTAGAGGATTACAATTACAGTTATTATTAACTTTAGACGAACTATGAAGGCAGTCGTGGCTGTGTGCTAGTATTTTTATTGGTCTTTCGTATTTGTTAGAGTGCATCGAGCGTACATGTATAATTTTAGTTTTAGCAGAATTTAATACGAGTCCCGCGTCATGTGACCACATACAGAGGTTAGTAAAGTCATGTTGTAGCATTTTTTCTGCTTTTGCTATGTCTTTATTGGATATTACTAGGCAAGTATCGTCTGCATATTGATACACTGAACTATGTTTAATCACATTCCTCATGTCATTTACAAAGGCCAGATAGTGTAAAGGGCCAAGAACCGATCCCTGAGCGGTTCCCGTAGTTACAGGTATTTCATCACTGTAATCATTTTCAATTCTCACCCGATATTTTCTATCTTTGAGGTAATTTCACACCACCTGAGTAAAGGCCCGCGTATGCCTGTATTTTCCAGTTTTTGTATTAATAAATCGTGTTTCAGAGTATCAAATGCTTTACTGTAGTCAATAAATAAAAGAATTATGTGTTGTTTGTTGTCTAAATAAGTATTAATTTCATCGGTAAATTTTGATAACAAAGAAGTAGTTGAATTATTTTTTTGAAAGCCAAACTGGGTGCTGGACAGAACGTCATTCGATATATAATATTTATGTATCTCACTACATATATATTTTTCAACTATTTTATCTATTACAGGAAGTATTGTAATTGGCCTATAATTATCATAATCACAGTGCGACCCCTTTTTGTAGATGGGTCTCACTATTCCTACCTTTAATTCTGAGGGATAAATACCAGAATGAACACTAGTATTAATCAACTTTGCAATTGCTGTTGTGATTTTTTCACATAAGGATTTTATGTCTATACAGCGAATCTGGTCTGCTCCAGCGGATTTGTTTGTGTTCAATTTCTGGATTATTTTATTTATGCTCTTGCCATCTGCTGCTTTAAACCGCATTGAACTATTCTGAGGAAATATGTACTCTGCTTGATCTAAAAGGTTTTGTTTACAGTTGGGTAGTATTTTTTCAACATTTTTAACAAAATCTTTACCAAAATTATTTGCCAATTGTTTAGCTGTTAATTTGTTTTTTTGAAAAGCCTTTAATATCGCCGCATCTAATGATTTATTTACTCTGCCTGTGATGGAATTCAGAATATTCCATAGCTTCCTTGGGTTATTTCTGTTATTATTTATTTCGTGATAATAGTATTTGTTTCGAGACATTTCAATAAGTTTATGTGTTTTATTCCTAATTTTATTAAACTCTAGTCTTAGTATTTTATCAGTTGTATCTTTTTTCCACTTGTTATATAGGTAGTCTCTTTTTTCGCAGTAAAATTTTATCTTATTATTTATCCATCTTTCCTTATTTCTTTTACTATTTATGCTATTTTTTGTAGTATATTTAGAATTATTATAACAGTATTCAAAGCTATTTTGAATAAAGTTATATATCTCTATCGGACACTGCATATTATCAATCTTATTCCACTCGACGTTTTCGAGAAGTGATATTAATTTTTTGTTATTAATTAATTGTTTGAGTTTTGACTCAGCCTGTACGCTGCTGCTGGTAGCCTCAGTTCCGGCGCACGATAGCACGCACATGCGGTGATCTGCCAGTACTGTTCCAAGCGCAGCCGAGTAGATGTCAGACGTGCGCGATCTCGCGAATATGTGGTCAATACAACTCCGCGTGATTTTTTCATTTCGAATCTCTATTCTTGTAAAATCAGAAATCGCTCTCGTCAGACCACATTCGGCCAAGCAGCTTAAGTAGTAATCATGAATGTTATTTTTTAATTCCAGGTCAATATTTATGTCTCCGATTATGTACAAGTCAGAGTGTTTGATTAAATTGTGACATAGTAGTACTTTAAGTTCATTAATAAAGAGATGCTTGCTTTCATTAGGCGGTCGATATAACGCGCAAATGTGAGTCGTGTAGTGGTGGCAAGATTGGATGTTTACAATTAATGATTCACAGTGGGTTAATTTTAAGTTGTTTACTACTTCAAAACTGTGGCAATTTTTAATGTACATTATAATACCACCACCACGTCGCTGCTCACGAAGCTTACTGCACATTTCATACCCGTTTATAGAAAATAATTTAGACACATTACTACTTATTGAAATTCCTACTTCAGTTAGTATAATGACGTCTATAGCTATTGGTGATTGGTTTATTGTTTGCAGTATTGCACTAAAGTTTTTGATAATAGATCTAATATTTATATGTACAATATTAAAAAGATTAGTATGTTTAGGTAGATAGGTACTAAATTCACATAAATTTGCCGAATCATAAATCTCAGTTACTTCCAAAGTAGTGCCTAGTGCGTAAAGTTTCTACTATCGACTTACAATATGCTCCACCGCCATTTTGTCAATGTCACTTAGGTTTCGGATGATCACAGGCTTATCGTTATCATTCTTACGAACTAAAATTCTACCGCCCTGGAACCATATATATTTATAAGTAACCTTAAGTTTTTGCTTTGCTTGCCACAGAAGGGTTTTATTTGCACTGGATAGGGCACGTCGTATCATTATCTTTGTTCTTGCTGTAGCAGGATCTGGACAGGAAACGCTGTCCTCTGCAAGTATAGTTACTTTTCTTGCTGCTTTTATCCACTGGTCCACTTGTTCCTCCTGTTTGAAAGATACCTGGATCACGCCCTCCTTTCCATTTTTCCCCTTTAATCTTTTAACTGTAGTTATTTCTTTTTTTACAATATTTAACTTCGTTGCTAGTGTATTTAGGATAATTTCCGTATTTTCGTCTTTTATTTCGGGTACTCCTGCGACTTCAAATGTGTTATTAAGCTGTTTTTGCTCAAGGTTTCCAATGTATTGTTCCATAGCATCGATTTTCAGCTCTAGATGTTTATTTTGGTTTGTTAAATATGTATTCTTGTTTTCCAGTTCTTTTATTTTTTCCGCTAATTGTCGCTAAAGTGTCCATTATTCCATCCATTTTTTGACAACAAGAGCTGAGCGCTTCATTTACTGAGCCTATTTCTTTCTTTACTGCTTTTTTAACCTCGAATGATATGTCGCTTAGTAACTTTTTCATCGCGTTGGATCCGCTGTCAGTTCCCTGTGTTAATAATAGTTCTTCGTCGTCTTCCTCTTCCTCCTCTTGTATGACAAATGACCTTTGCCTTGGAGTTTCACGGCGACAAACTTCGCAGGTCCATTCCAGATTCTCAGTGTTGCGCAGTGCTGCTAATTGCTTAGATGTTAGTCTGGTGCAGGCCTGGGTAGCATGCACAGTTTTTGAGCATGTGTTGCACTCGAGAATAGTGGATTTCTTGGCTATTAGTTTGTCACAGTTGTCACACTTGGGCATTTTGCGTGTTTTTATTATAATTTCAAACTAAGGGTAGAAAAAAAAAACTTTGTAAACGTAAACACAAGTCAGCTGTTTCGTACAACGTCACGAGCGAGACTGACTTAACGCTGTATGTCGCCGTTTTCGAAGTAGAATGTAACAACGTGTGATGTCTGCTGGCGCACTTGTTACACACGGAGCTCGAATTGCATTTAGCGACTAAATGTCTATCGCTTAGACAATTCAAAGATAAGTTGTTCGTCTTTACTATTCTATAACGTTCGCTGGGTGAATGTCTACGAAAGGTCGCACATTTATATAAATTACTGTGTTGCTTATTTTTACATAGAACACAGGCGTTATGAAGCGATGCAGGCGCAGCGGTTACGTACGTTAGAGGCCCTGCGAGTCTAGATGATGAAGTCTGTCTGCGGTCGACACATTTTGACTTCTTGTTTAACATTCGAGGAGCGCTGTAACACTTTGATTTGATCTCGCACAAAGGAGGCTAATAAATCGAATGACGGTAACTCAGAAGTACGATGCATTTCAAACGCACGCACGATGTTTGAATAAGGCGATATGGAGAAACACCACGTCCGATAACGATGGATTATTATGTATATTGTTTTGAAAACTACTAAAGAAGAAGGGCCATGTTTTAATATCGCCACTGAATACCAGAATATCTATGGGGGGGGGGGGGGGCAATCTGAGTGGATCACGTAGGCGTACCTGGTCTTCCGGCTTTGCTTTGCTTTGAGATGGGGACTGCAAGAGCTTTGCCGTTCTTTTCACGCGACACAATATATCTTCAAATGATAGCAGCGGCTGGTAATTTACTGTATACGACGGGTCTATTTGTAATTCCAAATTATTGATTTGGTCTTATATCTTTTCGTAATCCGTCCGCAAAGAGTCCACCGTTTCGATTTCACATAAAAACGTCTCCCGCACTGCTTCTACGTTAATATACTCTATGTGATCACTTATACACTGTATACGTGAAAAGAGTATGTCCCTCTTGGCGTAAAGGGTTTTAAGTTTAATTTCATTTCCACAAACTGCCATTTTAAATTACTATAATTAATATTAGATTAATCACAATTAAACGGACAACGCTGGAGGATGGACACAATGTAATACAACTATATCTCACAACACTATTTTCTTATCCTGCGTCTCAGTGATCGCAAGGGTGAAAACTGGCAGCGATCACCGAATGGTTAGAGGCACACTGAACCTAAACGTTAAGGTGGAGAGGTCTCGTCTAATGAAGTCAACTCTCCGTCCCCCTCGTGCTCTAATCCAGAATCCCGAAAACTTTCAGCTCGAGTTACGTAACTGCTTCCAGTGCCTACAAGATTGCAATGCAGTGGACGATATGAATGACAAGCTCGTGGAAACTGTCCATGCGGTCGGAGCTAAGTTCTACAAGAACCGCCACAGAACAACACAAAAACTCTCCAATCACACTCTTAATCTCACGGCTTTTAGACGGGAGATGGGGCTGCAATCGTCAACAAATTTGACAGCACACAGGAAACTGAACAGACAGATCTCCAAATGCATGCGGCGAGACTTACGCAACTTTAATACTGCTCGTATTAAAGAAGCGATCGAGCGAAACCAAGGCTCCAAATTCTTTGCCAGAGATCTGTCTGCCAGTAAGAGCCAACTGTTTAAGCTGAAAACTGAGTGTGGCAGCATCGTTTCCGGGACACCTGAGATTTTGAGTGAGATTGAGAGGTTCTATGGGCAGCTGTACACATCATCGTTGGAGCCACACGCAAGTGTGAGTAACGATCCAAGAGGAAGTCTTATCCGACACTATTCCGATGACATCCCGGACGTCAGTCTAAGCGAGATTAGAATGGCTCTCCAGCACCTTAAAAACGGCAGGGCCCCAGGTGAGGATGTAATAACAGCGGAGCTTCTGAAAGCAGGTGGAACACCGGTTCTTGAAGTCCTTCAGAAACTCTTCAATTCCGTCCTCCATGATGGCACTATTCCAGAGGCATGGAGCAGAAGTGCGGTAGTCTTGTTCTTTAAGAAAGGCGACAACACTCTCTTGAAGAACTACAGACCGATTTCCCTTCTGAGCCGCGTCTACGTGCTGTTTTTGAGAATCATTACGAATCGTCTCGCACGCAGACTTGACGACTTCCAGCCTCCCGAACAAGCCAGTTTCCGAAAAGGCTTCAGTATCATAGACTACATATATACCCTGCGGCAGATCGTACAGAAGACTGAAGAGTAAAATCTGCCACTTTGCCTGGCGTATGTGGACTATGAGAAAGCCTCAGTGGTGCCAAGTTGACTGTCGGTATATCGAAGTGCTGAAGTGTTTGTACAGTAGGGCTACGATGGCTATCCGAGAGCAGAACCAGAGGTCGAAACCTATCCAACTGCAGAGAGGTGTAAGACAGGGTGACGTTATATCCCCGAAAATCTTCACCGCTGCATTGGAAGACGTTTTCAAGCTACTGGACTGGAAAGGATACAGTATTTACATCAATGGCGAGTACATCACTCACCTTCGATTTGCTGACGATATAGTCCTTATGGCAGAATCGCTGGAGGACTTAAGCACTATGCTCAATGACCTCAATAGTGCCTCCCAACGGATAGGTTTTAAGATGAACATGGACAGATCCTCCTCAGACTAGAACCTCGTATCGGTAGGCGTAGTGTAGGGCGACCCCCTACTAGATGGAGTGATCGACCTGGTAAGATATGCAGGAAGTCGATGGATGCAGGTGGCTCAGGACCGTTCGTTGTGGCATTACTTGGGCTTCTCCCTATGTTCAGCAGTGGACTTGTGAAGGGCTCTAATGGTGATGATGATGATGAAATGAATGTGCAGTCGCAGGTATGATTGAAACAGGCGCGGGAAATTCGCTACTAAACGAGCTATTGTCAACAATGAATCTTCCTTCTATATATATATATTATATATATATATATATATATATATATATATATATATATATATATATATATATATATATATATATATATATATATATATATACTCAAGTCCATTTTAGCGACCAAGACAGGCGAATACGTCCTTTATTTATTTCAATAATGACAAACTTTACAAGTATAAATGTTTATATTTTTCGCAGAACCGACAACCGAAGGGAAGAAGGGTTCTCAAGTTGCAATATCGTACCATTAAGCTAAGTGTAGGGGGCGGTCCCTCGGTATACTAGATGGAGTGCCAACCTAGTAAGAGATGCAAGTGGCTCAGGGCTATCCTTGGTGGAGGCCTATTTTCGGCAGTGGAATTATGAAGGACTGCAATGATTATGATGATGATGATGTTTATTATTTCACTACTGGGCATGGGCCTCTGCTGAATAAGAACCAGCGTCCATCAAAGTCGAGTACTTTTCTTTAAAATCTATTTTTTATGCTTTTGAGTGGACTAAGAAATATCACAATCTCAATATTGGCTTAATAGTTCCACTTTAATTTCATACTCATTTTGCTACTTTTTGTGGGTGGTGTTTATTCTCCAAATGTATATAAGACTGCCCCTTAAATAATAAGTATTTAATAAAATGTACAAAATGCATAAATTTAATTGGTGAATCATACAACAGTGGCCAAAACGAAAAGAAAAGTAGGACTACACGCACTACATTATAATTTATTTTTTAATTTATTACGGCAAATATATCTCAACTTGATGCCCGCCTCGCCGACATATTACTAACTAGCTGTGCCCGCGAATTCATTCGCGTGGAATCAGTACATTTGCTATTCTACATAATGATCAATTATTTATAAATTAAATATATATATCTATAATAAATATCTATAATAATATTTATAATAATATCTATAAAAATATCTATAATAATAAATATCTATAATAAATATCCTTTGCCCCTGCCTCCTCTACCCTAACGGGTAATTTTGAAATCGCAAAATACGCATTTATGTATTTATTTAAATACATTACTCTCAGTAAATAACGAGTCAATCGCCCTAAAATATTTTTGTAAAAAAATAATAGACTGGAACACCCTTATTTCACCCTCTTAGGGATCGAATTTTCCAAAATGTTTTCATAGCGGATTTCTACGTCATAAAAGGTACCTACTGCCCAAATTTTAGATTTCTACTTCAAGCTGTTTAGTTTGAGCTTGTGTACTGGTATCTATGACTCAATATATTGTTGCATGAATAAGTCAACTAGCGCCATCTAGTGTCAGGAACGAGAGCGAGGTGAGCTTTGCAGTAAATGACATCACAAATCTTTCGACCGACAGCGCCACCCGAAGAACTAAGTTTCTGGAAAATCTACACTCGAATACTCGTTGCCTGGCGCGCATTTACTTGAATGTTCGGGACGCTTCTTTGCTAATTATATAAATAGGCGCTGCAAGATGCGATCGGGGCAGAGTTGAACTCGGCGACACAAGCGAAGCTTCGGAGCGGAATTAAGTGAATAAGTGTGTTTAATTATTAGTGTTTTTAGTTTTAATTTGTGTAAAGTAAATTAAAGTGTTAATTTAGGTAATTTTATCGGCAACTTTTATTGTCAAGAACCTCAAGCTCGTAACAATATTTATAAAAAAATATATTATAGTAGACACACAGTGAACAGTGACTTTTTATTGGTAAATGGCAAAACTAACTTTACGGCAAATAAAATTTTATTCTGTTGAGGCAATCAATGGGGAGGCCTATGTTAAGGCCATACCCCTAGCGAACGACCTTGAGCATTCGGTCCGCCGACACTCGCTACAATTATACTCTTATATCGCGTAAGAAATCTGCAAGAAGCCACCTACTGACGTACGAACGTAGTATTATTTTTTCAATGTCAATGAACTATTTTATGGAAATAGGCACGGCAGACAATGATAAATGTATTTTAATTTTCTTTATTCGGTATATTAGTTGCATTATATTAGAATTATGTATTCTCATATATTATTTAATTAATAAAAATGACTATTTTGATTATTTTTAACTGTATGCTATACTGATAATATTGAATT